TATATATATATATAACTCTGTAATTTACGAGTATAACGATTATTACCGGATTGTAATGTATGACAATTTTATCCGGATTTACGAAAAAATTCGCTATCGAATTTCAAAACAACAACTTATGGTCTATGGCCGTTTATAAATTATCTAGCAATAAATTTGATTTTAATTAAATATGATAACTGCAGTTATACATTGTTAAGAAGTTACTAAAAATGTAGTTTATTGCATCAATGCACATAAATGACCTTGATTGGTTAAGGTTTGGAATACTGTTTTTAATTTACGTTTTGCAAACGTGGTGAGTGATTTCTTTATCATAACCGTATGTTATTGTGATGATTGAAGGGTCTATAAATCGATTTGCCCCAGGTCCTAAAAATCCTTAGGGCGGCTCTGATAGTTCGTAACAATGCATACATACGCCGTCTGAATAATAGATAAAAATGCTGAAACGAACAGAACAGGATTTGTAAACAATAATATATGGAAAACAAATCCTCCGCTCTTAAACTACGTTACAGTCGAATTTATTTTTCGCTACACATTATGTAAAATGTGCGCGTACCATATAATACTGTAACATTATACGAATGCATTAACAGATTTGTTGCGTATGAACCAAACGGGTATATTAAATATGACCGTCAACGTGGTTTACGGTAATAATTTTTGATCTGTAGCTGATGCGATAAACGGCATTGACTTTTTTTTTTCGATTTCCGCGATGAGCCAAAGACGTAAAGAAAATATAAACACGACGTGACCACGTACGGCGGTTCGTTCGTCGGATGTTTGAAATATATTTATCAACATTTTCACTGTTTTCAAAAAATCAATAAATTTATAACCAGGATACTGCAATATTTTCAAATAGAAATCATACACATATTAAATTATAACTATTCTTAACTGACATCTATATCTGAACGTCGTACGGTTAATTTTAGAAGTCGTCGTGATCATTCTTCTTAATTATTTTTAATCAATCTTAAACACCGGTGCAGGTTTTCGATTAATAATCTGAGAAGGTTTCTTAGTATTTATAATCTCAATTTTTTTATCACTATTAAACGGCACTCCTATCGGACTTGAAAAATAATCGGTTTTCGATTATATATTAATAATATTATATAAGTAGACACCTATAATGTAATATTCAGAGTATAAATTTTCTTTATGTTAATAAATATTGAATCAAAGTGTTCAAAAAATTATTTTTTCAAAAAGTAATTAAATACAATCGTATTATTAAACGAAATCGATGTATAAAAAATATAATTTTATTTTTCAATATCAGGGTATTTCAGCTCGGATTTTTTTTTTAATTTTTTTTACTTGTTTTTTAATTAAAAACTTATAATGCTTCAATTACGATGTCCACAAGTTCATAACAATAAACAATGCCGTATTCTTGATTAATGGTTCACCAAACATTGAATCACGCCTAACTATAGTTCAGAAACAATAATTATAAATTTTCACTTTTTATCCGACCAAACAGTTTATTTTGTCGACGAAGACTTAAGTTAAGTTTGAGTTTAATTTCATTTTAAGTTCAAAACCCGAACGTAAATACGATACAATACCGGTACATTATTAACGCGACTGTAAACTTAATGATGCACATTGCACCGTGTTAATACGTATTGTTACAATTAATAGCTCGTACGATACAACTCGAGCCACTTAAGCTACACATAATTCATCACGATGTACGACAAAGTGCGGTGTGTTATCATAAAATAATATTGCGCTGCAAGAAGACTGTCCATTGCAGATGTTGCATTTGCAATTCAACGTGCTCTAAAATGATGTAAGCTTTGAACAACGGTAATAAAAACAAAATTAACTAACGGAATAGATAAATGGTTTATTTTGCTGTGTCAATACGTCATGATACAAAATTATTATTATTAATCTCAATCATCGTGATGTACTGTTTGGGCTATGTCAGTTTTGAGTTTGGTACGTGTGAACTGCATAAGTTAACAGATCTGAAACACACAAAATATAAAATAAAAACACATTAGCCGGTAAATCGAAAATAGTGTTAGATATACGTGTTGAAATAGACGGGTAAATTCAATTTTTTCCTAATACTGTAATGAGAATTTATTATAAATTTTCAGCGAGACGTGTTTGGCAAACAATTTGTTAAGATTTCTCTTTATTGATGAGTTTCGAGAAAGAATTATAAACTAATTGAGTATACCTAGTAATACATTATTATTGTGTACAGTTATTGCAAGTAATTTTCCGCTCTACCGATGAAGTTCAAAAATAAAAATAAAACTTATTTCATGTTTATTGAAGTATAATTTTTTTGTTACGTTGGTAACAATTTTAATATTGTTCAAAGAAAAAACCAAGAAAATACGAGAAATTATAAACAGCAAGTTATTTTTTATCGTGTATCTTAATTATTTTCCACTTACAAACTAAATAACGTTCAATATTAAGGTAATACACAGTAATAATATTCAGTAATAAGAATTTAAAAGGGGGAAAAATGGAAAAATAATTTTGAGCGAACAATCAACAATATAATAAACATCGAACTCATGCATTGTTGTACGTGGTTCGAATAGAAACCTGTACATAAACATAACATCAGGGAAATTAGGATATTGATATACTAGTGAACTGGTCAATCCGTCTTTTAAGTACAGTAATACGTGTTGCTAAAATATTAAAATTGTCTCACTATCGATTGACCGGTGGCCGGGGTGGTTTTGCTGACGTTGGTCTTGACGGCCTTGGCGGAATGGACTTGTCCGACGACGACGATGTTCATGGATATCTTTTCAGCGCCCATTTTCGGTTTTCGGTTGGTTTTCGCGGAACGAAGGTGAATAAGCTGCGAGCAGAAACAAATAAAATAATCACGTAGACAATTATTAAATATACCGCGTTCGTTATGAACGCGAACGAAAATCAACACACGTATTGCAATCGTATTTACTCACCAGAGAATAAAATTGCACCAAGAAATGTGTGTTATGCCTGAACCGAGTTATCCGCCGTCCTTTTATACGACTGTTGTTTCACCTGCACGCGGCCGGACGACCGATCGGAACATGGCGTGATTTTCGACGCGGCCGATGACGTCAATACGGCGCCACGCGTTTTGTTACTCGTTTTTGGCAACGATTGGAAATATTTACTTTCCCGGAGAAGGCTATAATGGATAATCGTTCGATATTGATTCTGATCGAAGTGAACGGTCTGTTGGTCGGACATCGAAGGTTTTTTTTCTTTTTCCAAGACTTAGGTGTTAAAACCATGCAAAAAGTTTCACGTAGCAAATTTTTAGTCCGGGAACTGGATACAGCTGATGATATCTCAAAGGACGTTTTAAACGTGTTTCGTGTACATTTATATTTTCATTTAAAGCTTTCAAAAAATATCGGCATTCGTATTTTTTTATTTTTCATCGACTGGCTTATTGCAAATATTAAACGCTATTGCTCTTCGTTTTTAATCTTTGTGGAACAAAAACAACTTTTATCACACAGCACCCGGCTTTTGTTCATATTTGCAATCGTATTCAATCATCGCTTTCAAATTCAAATCAGGGATATTTGAAATATTCCCACAACCACCGATTTTAATTTTATAACCTAAGACATTTATCCGCACTAGCACAAACTGCTTAATGTTTTTCCATAAATTACTTTGGTCTTTGGGTCTCAGTACTTTTCCTTCATAACAATATTAGTAAATAATAATTGTTGATCATCAAATACAAATGATACTGTGCGGCCACAGTGCGCAAATAATAAAATTTTAACCGAGACGCATTCAGTTCGTTTTATTTCTCATACTGAAAAAATTGAAAGCCATAACTGACTGTTCTTAACATAATTTCGCAAGCGTTCGATATAAATACTTACGATGAGCTTCCAATGTGTGATTCAGAAATCATCGATACTTATTAACATAATACAACTTTATGTATTCATTTTACGTTGGAGAAGAGAAACCGTGAGATTTAAATTTTTTTACGATAACTATTAAAGTCTAGGTTTTCTGATTACTTTTATATCAATTATCCAAGACAGGCAAATAGATATTTGACTATTCTACCAAATGACACTTGGTATTATTATAAAATATTAACTAGGAATGCTGAAATTTATATTAATTCGTATTAATCTTCCTCGAATGTCTGATTATAAATTTTTAAATGTTAAATAATTAACATTTTTAATAACGTTCCTTCCACATATCTATGTACAAAGACATAACATCGACGACAGTGTGTTTTGTAATATTTTAAATTTGGTCAACGCTATTGACAGGATAAACGCAAACGCAAAAAAAACTGATTATTAAAACAATATATATATATATATATATATATATATATATTTATATATATATATATATTGAATAATAACTAATGCATTCATATATTAATTTTGACCAACTTTTTATGTATATGCATATATGTTTTGATATATTTACATATACTTATGTAAATATGTATTGTTGAATTTAAATATTATGCTTATTTATTGTGTGTTGCTTTATTATTTAATATTCTTTTAGATCTCGTTAAAACGTTTTTTATCGGTTTATGCTCTTGACATAATGAAATTTCAGCGTAACAAGCTTTTTTCTCGGTCCCTCGAAATTCATATTAAGCGTTACGATTTTGTTCATATTCACTACTTATATTTAAGTTATTTGAATTAATTACAGGAATAAGTGTGTTTACTACTATCTAGATCAACGTTTGAATTTACGTATGTGTTTGTACGGCCACAACAGCTTATACTTTACGGGAACGTTTTTCGCTGTAGTGTACCTAGGGATTTGTTTACGTAAAAATAGTCCCGACACGAACGTGTTCCTAAATTCCGTCGGCTAGGTTTTCATTTGAAAAATGAACTCGCACGTCAAACAAGAACGATATCGATTTAAAATGTTATTTATCTCTCTACGCAGTAATAACGCGTGATGTTAACGTTTCTGGCGATCGCGTGTTTGCTGACGAATAACTCGTGCAATCACACCACTCGGTCGCCATACTACGGCCGGTATAAATACGAGCCCGCGAGTTCGGCTGAGGCGTAACACACGTCAACTTGTGCAGACATATTCTTCGGTGAGTACAGGAAAACAACCTGGTAATTGCGAACAGAAAAATTAATGATTTCGTTTTCCGTTCGAAGTTTTTTCACCTCCGTTCCGCGAAAACCGACCGAAAACCGAAAATGGGCGCTGAAAAGGTATCCATGAACATCATCATCATCGGACAAGTCCATTCCGCCAAGGCCGTCAAGACAAACGTCAGCAAAGCCACCCCGGCCACCGGTCAATCGATAGTGAGACAATTTTAATACTTTAGCAACACGTATTACTGTACTTAAAAGATGGATTGACCAGTTCACTAGTATACTAATATCGTAATTTCCCTGATGTTATTTTCGTGTTCCTGTTTTCACCGGCTAATCCGCGGTGAGTACCACGTGCAATGTAGTTATTACAACTATTATTGCAATTATCCGACTAGACCGTTTGTTATCCGTGGTCAGACGATGAAATGATACGTGGTGGTTTCATGTTGTTGTTCAATTGTTTCACGTTGTTACCAACACTATAATCGATATTGACTTCTATTCGAATGTTGTTCGCCGTATACGCACATAACGATAGATCGGTCAACAAAATATAAATAACAATCTGTTTCGGAAATTCTTTTAATTTTTTTTTTTTTTATTTTATCAACATTGAGAATTATGTTAGGTTTCGTTATTTTTATGTTGAAAAAAAAATTGTTATCAATACCGACCGATATATTTTAAGTAATTTCAACATTAATAATCAGATGAGTTCTTTACATAATGTCTTCTCGTAGTCGGAAATATTTTAAATAAAAACGCTCGAATATTGATTGAAAAAAAAACCCGAAAATCGCTTAAGAGCTAAACTATATTCATTCTGAGATGTTTTTTCTATCAAAAAAGAGACTAATGCAAACAACGTATAATATTTTCCACTTGAAAATTGGTGTTTTCGATTTCATATTTTGCTTCTCGAAGAAAATATTTAAATTATTATTTTTCATTATAAATATCATCAACATTCTCTATCCAATTAATCGGTAATTAAACGACTAAAATTGTAAAAGTTCAAATAATAGAAATCGCTGTTAATTATTACGTATGATTTTAAATATTTAATTTAATTTATGTTTCGTAAGAAAGCACTTGTTTGTTCAACACTAAAGATTTGGAATATCTTTATAATTAAAAAACGAAAGTATTTTCATTCACGTTATTTGTTCGTATTGTATGCATTTTTTTGGAAAAATGAAATTTTTAATATCAGTTTCTTATTTAATGGCAAAAAAAAAAATCATCTGTTTGAATTTTAACTTTTTTTGCTTTTTATTTTATGCCGAAATATTATTCTAAAACATTTTTTTTTTTCAAATTAACTTATTCTTTCTTGACGATTTGATACACTTGTTTTCCTACCACATTACGCATTGTTGATTTTATTTGATTTTCATGAAATCCAACGATGCGACACTAACCACATATACTTTATTTATGCGCACATTGATTGTTTCAGAACTGTTAATGACTCGTGTAATCAACACATAATCAGAAACTCAAAAATGCCATAGCCAAAACAATACAAAACGTTGTAACTATATCATAGTAGTGTACTACATTATGTATTGACATCGCAAAAATAAATCGGTTCATACGTTTTCAACCTATTCAATGTTTACTTTATTTATATTGTTTTATACGTAATAAATCCTGCGTGCGTATGACGGGTAATGTTAAAATTTTGATAAAGTTGACAGTATTCCGGATAGTGTCAACATTAGTCTTGCGTTTTGGATGACTTGTAATTGTTCGATTACAAACATGATCCATAAACATCAACCGGATAATATAAACGCATTCAATAATAATCATGGCGACCGATGATAACGGTTGACTAATGTTGTATGATTCGACTGATGCCGATATCGTACATTGACATTGCCCGTAACGTAAACAATTTTAAATAATACTGATAAAATGCATCGCTGAGATCTATAAAAATTTATCTCGGATGGATTTTCACGGGGCAAAATTAATTAACCTTCGCGTACATTATGTACAAACACGTTAATAGTACAAATTTTGCTTTACTTTAAATATAAAAAAATATAAAACTAAAAATATTGTCGACAAACACTCGTTACGGGATATAGGTTACTGTTGTGTTTTTTATCGTACACCTAACGCGAAAACTTACAGGTTTTAGTCAAGCTATTATGAAAATTATTAAATCGAAATAAATAAATGGACATTGAACGAATCGTGGTAAACAAGAGCCTCGTACCGTAAACGTTTTACGGACTCACCGAGACCGTGGTAAAAGGTAGAACCGTAAACGCTATTTACGTGTTCTCGGAAACGTGTACGGATCCACGTTGCATTTGGTCGTTCGCAGTTCATGACAAGCGTTTCTTCGACCGACGTGACTCGTGTCCGCCGAATATTACCGCCCGGACGATGTACAGAGACCATCTGCCGGTCACCAACAACACCGCTCGGTTTAGCGATGTATGCACAGTTTTTTACCTGACGATAATTTTTATTTGCTATTCAACAATGATTTTGCGACGAATATCCTCGACCGTTCGGCACGTAATATCATGACCGATGGCCTTTCGCCACCGTATTGACCGTATCGTTTCGGATAATAACCGACCGCGTAAAACACTATTACAATAACGAACGACGATATCATATCGTACAGGTGTCTTATTGTGACGGGCAGTACGGCCCGAATTGGGTAGTCGAAAAAATCAAAATAGCAGTTGACTTTATGGGGCACCTTATAAAAATATAATTTTCCTTATAGAACGATTGAATTTCTACCGAGTATTTGGAATTTGTGTAATTTATAAACCCAACCTAGTACCTAATAAACAATGATTATGTAAGCTGACAATCATTACTACTTTGATAGTCGACGATTAATCTATGCAATTTAAATTTAAATAGTGGTAAAAGATCCGTATTTTTTCCAATATTTTATCACGCAACGGTCAAAATTCTAAAATATCAATATACAGTTTATTTGGGGAGGATATACGTATTATAATCTAAATAAATTTCATAAAAAAAACTTTTCACTGTGTTTAGGTAAAAATCCTTAGAATAAGCTCTGATATCGTACACGGATCAAACAGATCAGATCCGTTCGAGTGGCCGTGCGCATACAAGTGCACGTCTGAACACTTCTAAACGTATTCACCGCGTAGCCACTCGAAACGGATCGTCGAGTACGCAATGTATCGTTATGATATCATTTCAACTCGTATGTAGTAATACGATTGTTTTCGATGCACCGCAGCACTGCAAGACCGACGCGATACTTGATTCCTGCGGTGTTACACGTGTACACCATACATAATATTATCGATACATAAATAAATAAACGAATAGTTTATAAAGTTTGTCGATCTTAATGAAGTCGTGAATAACCCTTTGTATGTACCTTATGATGAATTTTTAATTCGAGACCATTCGTACTTCGTAAAAATATAATACACGAATGTAATACTCAAGTCTAAGCATTTATTTATTTTTATTTACACTATAACTATTGGTTTACTTATTTATATATTGATTTACGAGTGTTAACTGTTCAATAATTTTTAATTTTTTATTATTTTGTTACAATATTATTATTATAATTGAATGCGTGCACGCGAAACGAACGAATATCTCCGAAACGTTTCCGCTTGTACATTTTCTGCCGCAATGTGTAACACAGTCGAGAAATGCACTTACCTCATCCTAATTAAATTGGTCCAACCGCAACCGGGACGAATACGGGTTAGAACTGATCTCACTTCGATGATCGAAATAAGTGATAATCATAAATACCTTTTTAATAAATTTCACTACATCGTATTTTCCATGACTATGTGCGTTCGAATCGTTAATTATCAGACGATGTATTTTAGGAAACGGCATAAGTATATGTCGACAAAAATGGTAGTAACAATAGCACGTCGAGTTGTTGACAATACTTTTAAGCCGAGTTTATTTTTCTTGAACCGAGTGTGAGTTCGACTGGAGTAAGTACGATTCGCATAACATTGATCGTTTTAATCCATCATTCGACCGTGACTCGAACCGAATGCAAATCGTCAAGCCCGATTGCGGACGTGTTTTTTAATCATCGGGTTTTTAAAGTGATAGTTCGCTGGAAATATACGCATATTTTTATCGGTGATAGGGTTATACACGCTTTTGTCAATAATTATGCCAAACAGTAGTAAAAATAACTGCTCTCAAGTATAGTATACATCACATTCTAGTTTGGATTTATATACGTGCGCACAAAAGCTTTTCGAGCTTTTCATCGTCTCGAATTGTGTCAACCGGAGGGAAAAAAACATATTGCCAATACATATATGACGCTCCTCGTCGCTTCAATATTAAACGAAAACCTATAGAAAAAACTTTTCAAAAATGTGTTTGACTCGCGAGTCGAAATCCAAATCGAGTTGTCACGTTGCAATTTGCAATACACGCGTAAAAATGTGTTTTATTCATATTCTAGAGAAATCGCGTCTAAATAAAAAAAAAAGTTTATCGTTTAAGTTCACGTTTTTAAAAACTGATTTAAATTTATCACTCTCTTTATATTTCATGCGGTCACTAAACTATTATATTTGTGGTTTATAGAATAGTAATAATATGTTCGGTGTGCAGCCATAGAAAATATCTAGTATGATTTCATTATAGTTGTATGCCATAATTTAATACATTACATTGATATTATTTTTTAATTGATTTCATAATCATATTCTTGAAAGCAAATTTAATTACCAAATTCAATTGCTTCGCGCGTTCAAATAGTGATAAAATACCGATTTTTCGATTCGCCCGATTGTTATAACTCGCTTGTACAAAATTAATGATAACGAGCAAAACGCCTTTTGGATATAATTAAACGAATAATTATTGCAAGAAGGCTGCGCTATAATACATAAGAGTTGTTGAGTTAAAATGTAGGAATTAATTGTGCACGTTCAATAATAATTGTTTTTAACTTTTTTTCTTCTAACAAACATTACACTATTTATTATTCACCAACGATATACGCCTTACACGCACTACCCGTAATTGATTGCAGTGATAATTTGCGTTTGACTAATTATTTAACCATCCGCGTGTAGATCGTATATATATTTTTTCTTCGATACAGTTCAGATACGGTATTATTATAAAACCGCAAACGCGTGACAAAGACATGAATGCAAATATGAAACATGGAGAGAAATAAAAATATTACATGCTCGTGTATATTGTTATAATAATAAACGACTAATAATTACTACTAGCTGCAACCGACGCATTATGTTTAATCAGAATACGCGACAGGCATTATGTATGTTGTACACGGTAAGTATACGTATTGATTGTTGTGTCGCAGCGCATTACGATGAATAAGATAACTATGGCGTTTGTACTCCAGAAGTCGTAACCGAAGAGATGAAAACCGAAATTATTGTAGTCAAATCGGTGACGCATTCGGTGCCGTTTAGTTTTAAATTAATTGCCCTACGAATCGGTCCGGGCGACAAGCATTCATCGGATTGATCGAAGGTTAAAAATGTATTAGATGGTGCCGGTGATTCCCGTCGAGAAAAATTAAATAAATATTTTATTCAACAGAACCAAATTGAATTGAATAATTTTCCGAAGACAACTAAATATAATCGCAAGACTTAACAAAACATTCTCTAGTACATTATTATTCTTTGTTTTGTTTCCAACTATTTTGGTTACGTCTCGATTTTCCTGGGCCACGCGGTTGACTTAGGTGTAGAGTGATTTCGCAAATTTTGCCGAATCGTATACATTTTCATAATCGTTCATAAACATACACGTTTCCGCAAATTGCATATATATTCGTAAATAATACCTGCTAAATTTTAAGTATAGCGTTGCTTTACCATATGTTTTTAGTGGTAATTCATTCAAAGGAAAACGTGTATGGTTAATCATCGTGTTTTTATTTTACAGCGTACTATTACTGTTACGTTCGTCGCGTTTGTTTCGGATAATCTAAGGCAATCACTGCAACATCGTTATTATATTATAGGCGTTTAATGCGATTTTCTTTCGACGAAGCGCAACGAACGAATAACATAAAAATTATCATGGTGACAATCTCAGGCTGGTTATAGCGTTCCGTGCATTTAGTCACTGACGTACCATTTACGTTTTGAAACATTTGTACGGTTGAAGTATGATCGGTTCTCGTTGTATATTAAAATAATTACTTCAGAATCGGGTGAATGATAAGCGTTTGTAAGTTAAATCAAGTGTAGATCCGTCACAAGCGTGAGAAAAAATACGGTGCTTCGGAACCGTTCAAAATGTAAAATTTGCACGTCACACGTTTTTTTTCCCGTTTTACTTTGGTAAACGACCTCTCGGGTGTTCATAATCATACCGCGAGACGTGTACGAATCGTTTCCGTCCGGCATAATATGTTAACAAGCGTTTAACGGACATTGCGTTCGAAATCACGTGGAATGACTTGCATTTAAAAATGCTTTCGAAAATCTACACGATCCCCGCAACTTTCGACAGACCCGCGCGGTAACCGTCGAGTTGGACCGTCGTCTCGCGAACCATTACCGGTCATAAGCGTGTTTACGGCTATGGCCACTCTGGCAATGGCTATACCTTCTAA